TTATATTAGTTCGATATGTTAAGAAAATGAATACACATGTCACACCAATCAATACATTAGTACGTGCACGACGAGAATTAAAAATGATTCGACGTACAGTTATACTTATAACGATTGTTGTTACCGTTTGTTTTCCTTATCAATTATTTCTTCTAATGTCATTCTTCAATAGAAAACCAAAATATAATTTTCGAATTGCTTATGTATTTGGTGATATATCAATATTATGTGTAATCATTACTGTGTTTATATTTACAGATCGTTTGAAAGCATCTGTCAAGAACATAATAACTAGGCCGACAAGTATAATCACACCAGCGGTAACATAAACGAAAAACTAGATCGTATCGAGACTTTAATGTTGTGGTGCTTTTGTTTTTATTGTAACAGTGAATATATTTAAAAGGCTGAAAATAAATTTGAGGGTGTGAGTCTGACTTTAAATGTAAATCATGTTTTGCTCATATTTACATCCACACTCATCAATCTTACTGAAATAGGAAATTAGAGAAAAAACTAATATGCACTTAGCACTTAAGTTAAATTAGAAAAAAATATTAGATTCAATAATATTCTAATTTTGATATACATAACATGTAGAGTAAAAGAAAGTAATTGTCAATTATCGTCTTTGAATAATGATTCACCATATGTCTCAAAAGTTAATAAAATCGCAAGTTCATGTAAAGTATATAAATATTGATCTTTACATGAATTTTCAATAGTACCCATCGCACAGACTGCTTCAAAATTTGTTGATTAAACATAATTATCCTTATAGTTATCATTTAAATTAATGTGATGAAATATTTTGGGAACTGCTGATTTTTATATTTCCCTTATTGTTTTATTATGAATATACTTTTCTGAATACTTTTATAATTTAATAATCATTTGAACAGTTATTTAAAGATGTTTATAACATTTTCTTTTCGAAGGAAAAACAGTTATTTTTATTTCGAGAACACTTGATAAATATAAATAAATCTAATTTTCATTTTGAAGATATTCATGATATTCTCCACTTATTTCATTCTAGTTAACTTTAAAGAATTTTGTTATGATGAAAAAATACTATCTAAATTATTCTATATTTTCAGGAAATTAATTCTTTTTTTTGACGACGTTAAAATAAATGGGTGCGCGGATACTGGATTCGTCTAGCACCCACACCCTCAAGATTTTGTTTACGAAATATATCATAAAGACGTTTTTTGGACGAATTAATTTTCAATAAATAAGAAATAGAATAGAAAAAATAAATGCAACACTTGTAGATAAAATTAGAAACAGCATAATATTGATGCATATATAATTCACAAAACCCATGTAAAGAGATGACGTGACATGGTAAGCCAACACGATCAGAATGACTCATACTTTAATTGACAGATTTGAGTCCAATAATGCACTTTGCATTGTTATAATATTTTTATGAAATTTAAGTGTCACAAAAAAGATTCTACTTAGGATGGGTGGGTAACAGATGAGAAAAATACACACCCACACCCATTATCCTTTGTGTGATTATCATCTGCAACACAAAAAATATCTATTTAATTTTCATTAACATCGAAACTATTGATTCATTGAATGCGGTATAAGTAAGAAAATTTGAAAAAGATAAAATATATAGAATAATGTGACGTAAATTTATCCGATATTCAAAATCTGGTGAAACAAATGTCAGTTATTTTTCATTCTAATAATAACAAAAAATCAACAATTAAAACGGAAAGAAAGACTTTCATGATTTAGTTATCTGTTTATTATTGTTAAATATGATAACATTAATAAAACGTTTTTTATTTTGTTCAGGAACAAACTATTTTCTTTGTTAACATAAGATATAATATTTTAATGCGTATAAAATCTCGATTTATTCTCATTTTATGATTATTAAAAAAAAGAAAATGTTAATGGAAAACGTTTTTTTCTTTTTCTTCTTGATTAATTCTGTTTATCTTCAAATTCAAATAAATCTTTATGATACAAATTGGTCAAATGAAAATTTAAATATTCAACATGATTGTTTAAATATTCCAGTTCATATTGAAGATGAAGCTGAATCTCATCAAACAATATCTTATTGTATGGGTGAATGGCCTTCTCAATTTCATCTAATTGAAAATAATTTTGATAATAAATATACTTTTTCTCAATTACAAGAACGAGATGTAACATCTGAACAATTATATTACTGGTCAGCATCAATTGATGTTATTGAAGAATATCAAAATTATTTAGATAAGAAATCATTTGAAAATCAAATTTATTATAATTGTACATTACCATATTTTGGTTCAAAATGTCAATATACTTTAGAAATTTATAATGAAATTTATTCAACAATTAATGATATGATTCATAATTATTATAAATATAATTTATATAAACCAACATTATTCACATGTTATGGCCATTTAGAATGTAATCGTGGTCCATATCCATCATGTCTTGATTGGACAGAAATATGTGATGGAAAAATTGATTGTTTTGATACAGGTATTGATGAAAAAGATTGTTGGCATTTAGAAATGCATCAATGTAACCAAAATGAATTTAAATGTGCTTTTTATGCACAATGTATACCGTTAGAATTTTTACTTGATCAGTCAAGTATACCTGATTGTCTTGATCAATCTGATAACCTATATTTTATTTTGTTACATGGTTCTCGTTTTCCACGAACGTTTTTCCAAGAACCATCATCCATATTTGAAGATTTATCATGTGTCAAAAAAAAATTTATGGAATATGATATTACTCCAATTGCAACAAGTTCATGTGTTTCATCTCGTGGACAACTTTTATTAGATGCTATGTTTTCCATGAAAACAAATTTAACAACTGAAGAATGCTGGAAAGTATTGAAATGTTTTATTAAAGGATTAAATTTGAAAATTGAAGAATGTTCATTACTTTGTGAAAATCATGGTGATTATGGATGTATTGAAATAATAAGAAAAACATGTCCAGATATTATATTTATTCCATCATATCCAATATTTCGTGGTCATATTTATTTAGCATATGATAAATCGAAAATAAAAACTCCCTATTTTCCACCACAACCAACTTATGTTTGTTACGATGAACAATTCATTAATATACCTAAGGATGGAAAACAATTATTTAAATTTAATAATAAAACTTGTCGTCATTTCATTGATTCAATGATTGGTCGTGAACCATATGATGAGTTCGATTGGTTAATAAGACATGTTCGTAGAGTTGAAAGATGGTTACATAAAACTGATATGTTAATTGGTATTAATTCAACATTTTGTAATCAATCAATAATGTATCAATGTATGAATTCATCAAAATGTATTTCAAAAGCTCGTCTTTTCGATCGTATCATAGATTGTTATTATGAAGATGATGAAAGTCTATCTGTATTAAAAAATATCGAATTAGTACAATCAAATTCAAATTTTATGCAATGTCAACCAAATGGTGAATTTTTTCCTTGGTTTCTATTTAACGATATATACAGTTGTGAATGTAGTGGATCTGGTGACGATTATTGTTTTGATGAAAATTTGAATGATTTTTATTTTAAAAAAACAATTTCATTTCAAACAATTTGTGATAAATTTACACATTTAGCACCGGAATTTACTGAAAATAAAAATGAAACAGATGAAACAAATTGTGAATCTTGGCCATCTCTTCATATATATAATCGTTGTAATGGATTTTGGGATTTTCTTAATGGTTCCGATGAACTTAATTGTGATTCATCATTAGAATTATTGAACTGTTCACAAAATTATCATGTTTGTGTTTCAGCAGAAACACGTGAATTAATGTGTTTACCAATTGAAAAAGTTAATGATAATATTACTGATTGTATTGGTGCTGCTGATGAACCAACTCGATGTGATGAAAGATTTATAGCATATAATGTTTTTTATATGAAACAGGAAGATCCAAAACTATTTGGTTGTCATAGTAATGAAGAATGTATATTAGGTGATCAAATATGTGATACTCATGATGATTGTCCTAATGGAGAAGATGAAAAAGTTTGTAAAAATAAAGATTTAGCAGGAATAGATCCACTTATCGCTAAAGGTGCTTGTACAAAAAAGTATGAAGAATATGAATCTGATATTATCAAAATATTATGTAGATTATTTACTAACGATGGATATCGGCGTGAAGTATATTTTACTTTGGATTATAGTGAAAATTCTAAGGGTCATTACTCGAAGCCCAGTACGATCATGTGGTCAGATACATATAAACCAATTGCACCCAATGCTAAATTGTATCAACAACGTTGTCATCGTGGTCTTGATTTAAAAATTTGGTTAGATAAACAAAATAATCTAACAAACAATACTTGTCTTTGTCCTCCAAGTTATTATGGAAATATTTGTCAATATCAAAATCAACGAATTAGTCTTACTTTACAATTTCGTGCTACAACTGATTCCATATTTATTCCTTTTATTATAATTATATCATTAATTGATAACAGTGATCAAAAAATAATTCATTCATATGAACAAATTAATTTTTTAGCTTCAAAACATTGTCAAAAAAAATTTAATTTTTATTTATTATATTCATCAAAACCAAAAGATTCAACAAAAACTTATTTTATACATATAGATTTTTATGAAAAATTAACATTAAATTATCGTGGTAGTATTCTTCAACAAGTTAATTATTCATTTTTACCAGTTCATCGATTTGTTTTACAATTAGATATTCCAAATAATTATGATCAAAGTTTATATTGTTTAGATAAACAATGTACTCATGGAAAATGTATCAAGTATTTTAATAATCCAACTAATCAAACATTTTGTCAATGCGATCCAGGCTGGACAGGAAAATTTTGTACAGTTAAATATGATTGTTTATGTTCATCTCCATCATTATGTATTGGTAAATTAGTAAATAATCGATCTTTATGTGTATGTCCAATTAATACAATGGGTCCTCGATGTTTAATTCAACATCAATCATATGAAATATGTCAAAATGGTGGTCACGGTGTATTAATAGATGAATATGAAATTCCAAAAAAAAAATTTATTTGTACTTGCTCAAAAGGTTATTCAGGTGATCAATGTGAACAAAATCAAACAAAACTTGAAGTATCATTTGATGGAAATATTGATTTATATCCATCAATATTTATTCATTTTATTGAAGTTAAAACTAATGATGTTCCAATTCGTACAACAACTATTAAAAGAACACGAATCGAACAAAATTCATTTATTGTTTATCGATCATTACCGTTTCATATTGCTTTTGTTGAATTATCAAATAAAAGTTATTATTTAGTTTATATGCAAAAGAAATATCAACCATTAATTATTCAAAAAACCTTGAATTCATTTGATCAATGTTTAAATATAAGTAAATTATTTAATGAAACAATGATGAATTATCATTTTCTTCGTCGTATTAAATATTATCATATACCATGTCAAACAAATTCATCATTATTATGTTTTTATGATGAACAACAATTTTGTTTATGTCAACAACTTGATCAACAACGTGTAACAAATTGTTTTAATTTTAATCATACTTCTAGTGTAAGTTGTTCGAATGGAAATCTATGTAAACATGGTGGAAAATGTTTTGAAGAAAATTCTAAATGTCCAAAATATTTCTTATGTCAATGTCCTGATTGTTATTATGGAATACGATGTGAAGAAACTATAAATGGATTTAGTCTTTCATTAGATGCTATTCTTGCTTATCATACTTATCCAAATCAAAATCTATTTGATCAATCACATGCTATATTAACAAGTTCAATTTTAAGTACAATTATTATTATTATTGGATTAATAAATAGTATTTTATCATTAATTACATTTCAAAATAAAACAACACGTGATTTAGGTTGTGGAATTTATCTTTTATTTACATCATTAATAAATTTATTTTTAATGATTCTATTTCCAATAAAATATTGGATTAATATTTATTCTCAAATTGGATTTATAACTAATCAATCATTTTTAAATATTCATTGTTATTTAATGGATTTTCTTATTCGATTCTGTTTAAATATGGATCAATGGTTAACAACATTTGTATCAATTGAACGTGCATATATAACAATAAAAGGTGTCCTATTTAATAAAAAACAAACAAAATTAATAGCTAAACGAACGATAATTGTTCTTATATTTTTAATAATTTTAACAAATATTCATGATCCTATTTATCGAAAATTATTTATTGACAATCAATTTGATGATGATGAACATATGAAAATTATATGTCATGTTGAATATAAATCAAATCTTCGAGTATATAATTTAATAATGAATGTATTTCATTATGTTACACCATTTATTATTAATTTAATATCAGCTATTATTATTATTTTTATAAATACTAAACAGAGAAAATCATTACAGAATAATCAAAAAAAATATTTTGATATATTAAAAGAACAAATTGGACAACATAAAAATCTTCTTATTGGACCATTTGTATTAATTATTCTTAATCTCTCACGTTTAATTATATCATTTACATCTGGTTGTATGACATCAAAAAGTAATTCATGGTTATTTCTTTTAGGATATTTTATATCATTAATTCCACCATTACTTACATTTATTTTATTTGTTTTACCATCAACTGTCTATAAACAAGCTTTTAGAAAAAATATTAGTCATTATAAGAAGATCATTATTAGACGTCCATGAAAAGAAAATATATTAATAACAAAAATTTTATATGAATCTACTTCATTAACAGTTATTTTTATCGTATAAATTTATGCTTTGTAGTCAACAATTTTATCCTTCGCTTTCAATGCTTTTCTTCTTACGTCTTTCCCTTTTAGGGTGTGGGTGGGTAGGTGTAGATGTGGGTGCGGTTTGTGGATTTGCGTGTGGTCGGGTGTGAGTTAACAGATAACACCCACACCCACACCCACCCTTTTATGAAGTTTTATCAGAAAATGTTACGAAAACGTTTGATTAATCAATTAAGTTCATCAGAGTCTTATGAAGAAACATTAATTTCAGAATTTAAAGTAAAGATATTATTTCCATCGATAGATTCATTATTTTCTCCATTGTAGAAAAAATGTGGATATGAATATACATCAAAACTTGAACAAGCGATTAAAGATATTCATTTGAGTGAATATTTAACTAAACAATATCGAACTTATGAGAAAAATACACATGGAAATGAATAAAATCTATTCAAAGAATAATCTTTAAGCAAAAATTTTCTGATAGATATTTTTTCGGTTATGGTTCTTACTTCAAATTCTTGGTTATTTTCTCATCTATCTCATATAATTTTACCAATCGAGTTTTAAAATATATATGATAATTTCACAACATTTTATCTTTGTCAACATACTGGTCGAAAACTTAGATTGCTTTATGAATATTCTGAAGGAGAATTACAAATTAATTTTACAACAAAAAAATATCGATTACAGGTAAAAAGAATTTTTTTTCATTAATATGGTATCAACATATCAAATGTTGATTTTATTATTATTTAATCAAGAATTAATTTGGACATTTGAACAAATTCAAGACAAAACACAAATTCGTTCGGAATTATTATTAGCGATTCTCTCGGACTTGTTGAAAAATAAATTATTAATATGTGGCGATCCTCTTACATTCAGTAGTCGAATTAAACTAGCAGAAAATTTTATAAGGTAAGTTTTCTTTTGAGTAAAGTTCTAAAAAAGAAATAAATCTTTTTAAGTGACAAGATTCGATTGAATTTAAATCTTCCATTTAAATCTAACGAACAAAAAGATCGAAATCATTTAGTGAAAGCAGCAGTTAACGAACGTCAAATGATTATTCAAGCTGCTCTCGTTCGAATAATGAAAAAGAGATGAACTCTAAAGCATTCATTATTAATACGAGAAGTTATTCAACAATTAGCTTCAAGTTTTAAACCAGATATATCTTTAATTAAAGTAAATTGCTTTAAGATTATGCTGAAAATATTCTTTGTCATTATTTTAGAAGTATATTGAAACATTAATTGACAAAGAATATTTCCAAAGAGATTCAAACGACAAAGATACGCTACATTATTTGGCTTAAAACGATCAACTAATATTATTAATTTTAATAATCAAAAAGAGACATTCACTCATATTCTCAAGATTTATTTTTATTGTCTTTTCAGATAATTAAATAAATATATAAAATCAATACAATGTGAAAGAAAGCATCTTTTTCTCAAAAAATTTAAAATGAAATTATATACTCAAGATCATGTCTTTATAGAAAAGTGTCGCAAAATCTTGAGGGTGGGTGTGGGTGAGATAGGTTTAGGTGTGGATGATATAAATAAGATCCACCTACACCCACACTCTCAAGATTCTCTAATTTTCTGATTCTTATCTTATTCTTTCCTCTTCACTTTTTCTCTTCTCCTCTTAGTCATTCGCTTCATTGTTGCTTATATATATATAATTACATTGTGAAATACGATATCTTCGTTAGTTGCTTTCACTTGTAGTTTATTATTTTTATAAAACTGCACCTTTTAAACGCTTAAATATATCTTTAAAATAAACAGCATAATCAAAAAAAACAACAAAGACTATTATGTAGAACTATTTACTACCTATACAACAATATAACATTCGACTTTAACCATCGTGATGAGAGAAAAAACCTATATAGCGAACCATATATGTGAAATTTTCAAAAATCGTTTCGCTTATAATTTTCATTGAAATCACTGGAACGCACCTAGGAATCTTCCCTTGTTAGATCACCTAGTATATAAGGTATAATATACTAGATGTAAATGTAAAGAAAAAAAATCAAAAAAAAATATTGTGTTGTTAGACTGTTGCCCACCCGGTATATCTTTCATAAACTTTCTTTTTATGAATATAATCAATTTTTCTAGTGCCTATTGAAATATACCATTATACTTTTATCTAAAACAAAGATAATAAAATACTGCTCTATTTTTTGTCATGCTTTTTTTCCGCTTCATTACGAAACTTATTAAATGCATTCCTTTCTTCGCATTGTTCTAATTACTTGTTAAAATAATTTCCTTAATTTTCTATCCAGTGTTTTTATCTCTCTCTCCCTGAATTTTATTATTTATTCTATCTACGTTTTTCTAGAGCATTCACTAATGCTCATTCAAATGTTTATTTTTTAAGAAGTGAAAAGTTGAGAGAGATTTTTTTTCTTCACTGATATTACGCCTTAACATTTTCTACTGTAAACCTCTCGTATTGATAATAAGGTAAGTAGATATTATTAGAAAGGATAAGATATTTGTATCAAGAAATCGAATAAATATTGATTGTTTTTGTATATTATCTGTTAGTTATATCTAGCTTCAAGTAGACAAGCACTGCTGTTTTTGTTTCTTTTTAACTTACTTAGTTATGTAAATGGTAAGTGTTCTTCCTTTTGATAAAACTATTTGAATCCTGAGCTAAAAAACTCGATACTGATGTCCATACATGATTTTTATAGTGGTTTAGAACAAATATTTTATGGTTTATGTTCTATTTGACGTACTAATATTGAAACAGAATTTCTACTCAAAGACTTTTCTCCCAGTCAAAGCTACGCATTTTCTTGGTAATTAGAAATATTCTTGAAAGTAAATGACGGATATTATTATAATAGAAGTATTCGAGCGGACTATTAAAATAAAACAACTTACTTACTAACTCAAATGAACAAATACAACATATTCAGAAATAATTGAATTCAATGATGATCATCACATTGTGCATAACTAGGTATCCATGAGAAAAGGATCTTTTTCTTTATGAAAATTTTTTTTTAATTAAATTTTTCAGCAAAATCCAATGTAATCTAAAGTATTCTTTGTAAAAAAGAATTACAACTTTGATTGATAATGTTTGATAGTCCATTTCATTTTTAATAAATATCTCGCCATTGAAGGGTGGGCGTGGGTGTGGATATGGGTGAGAGATGATTATAACATCCAGACCAATACTCACACCAATCTTTTCTTCCATCTACATTCTATTTCAATTTTTAGATAATAGGCTTGTATTAAGAATGAGAATCCGAAATTTTATTTCATGGTTTCATGATTATGTACACAATTACAATCTGTTTATACCAGACGAAGATGATTATGAAGATGATAATGATAATTCAATAGATCCAACAATACGTGTCAAGCAACAGAAACATTCTACATGGCTCTACGTTTTCCTTTTCATTAGTGAGTTAATAAAAATAATTTGTTTCTTAATAGAAAATAAAATGGAAGCTCATAATATCACCTAAACAAAAGTATAATACGTTTCATTTTGTCATCTTTTCTTTCTAGTTTCTCTTTACGTGTTATTCTTCATCGCATTGTTAAGTCCAACAAGTCGTATCGTTACCATTTCAAATCTGACTCCATCACTCTTTGATCAACTTCATCGTGAACATGGTGAAACACTCTCATGTCCATGTTCAACTATTAGCATACCTTATAGTACTTTCGTTACCAATAATGTCTCATTTCATCCTGTATGTTCGAGCGTTTTTGTTAGTAGAGAATGGATCGAAGGATTTTATCTACCGATAGCCAATGCATACCTGGCGGTGGATTTTCGGACAACGGCATTTTCTCAGGTGAGTTGAAAGCATATCTCTTATTTATATTTAAAGAAGAAAAATTGATAAAAGCAAACTATTACAATAAAATAAAGATCAGTGAAGACGAACACATGAAACTTCTATTTTTTGTATAGCCATATGATATTATTCGCTGCGCTAAGATATTAATACGTTCTGTGGAGTGACTAAATTTAATTGAAAAGTAATTGAGATCTTTTTTTGATTTTGATTTAAATAAAAATTTGAAATAAAGAAATCGACAAAAGACCAATCTTACTTTTTTTATTTAATTGTAAAAGTCAATCGCAATACTTTGCATAGTTATCATCATATCCACACCCACACCTCATTATATGAAATCTATTGTTCTGTTTCTAGTT